AAAAACCTGCTTCATGTGTGTGCCGAGGGGAAGAAGGCCAGTACCTGGCTGGCCCAAAGGGCATCAACGCAGAGGCAGCTCTGAAGTAACAGGAAAGTGATGATCACATCTGCAATCAGTGCAGACGTAGAGCGTGTGTGCTTTGGAGGTCACCAGACAGGATTGTGTGGCTACCAGAACACTTCCCTGGAGGTTAGGGATGGGAAGCCACCAACGCCATCTGGGAATAATTAAGAGGAACTGGAAATTCTTGCTGTTTACCAAGCTGAGCACAATTCTGAGAATAAGGTGGGTGTGTGACAAGTACTGCTGGATTACACTGAACAAGAGGATTAAATCTTGCTTGTGATTGATGCTTACGGTTTTTTTAAAAGACTGATTTGGACTAATAATTATTCTTTGCAATTCAGAGAAAATATCAAAAAAGAAAAGGAAAGAAAGGAAAAAAACAGAAAAAGAATCTAAATGCCTGAGGATACATCCTATCTTTAATCTGCTTGTGATGCTACAAAATTTTTTAAAATTATGTCGAGGGTTTCATTCTGCAATGAAGGTTTCAGTGGGTGGAAAGGATGGGACAGGGAATGGAACTTGTGGGTTTTAAGAACAAAACCCCATGCTTCAATTCAGGTTAATAAAAAAAATTTCAAAAATATCTTAGTTGTCTTTTTGAGGTGTATTTATTACCTGTAGAGAGCCAATACAGAATTTGTCTATTAAAAAAACAAACATCTCATGATTAAACTCTATAGCTTAACTAACAGTACTCAGAACATAGAAAAGTTTTTATTGCAAACGTCTGTGTAAACAGATTATAAGCATTTCCCTCCCGGCTATGAAACCAAAAGTTGGACGATCATAATGGCCAAGTAAAAGCCTATGAAGGAAGACATTAAATAGGCCACTTATATTTTATGGCTCAACATAATAGCATTTTGTGTTACACTTTTTTTTTTTTTTTTTTGTGACTGGTAAGGGGATCGTAACCCTTGGCGTGGTGTTGCCCACACCGCGCTCAGCCAGTGAGCGCACCGGCCATCCCTATATAGGATCCGAATCCGCAGCCTCGGCACTCCCAGCGCCGCACTCTCCCAGAGCCGCACTCTCCCAGAGCCGCACTCTCCCAAGTGAGCCACGGGGCCGGCCCATTGTGTTACACTTTTAATATTATCATTGCCATACCACACAATATTTATTATAAGGCATTTCCTATATTTATAAAAGTATGTATACTATATTATATTCATGAATGTTACATGCTCCTCTAAGGATTCCAGAGACTGACTCCATAATCATCTAATTCCACTTTAAGGGTAGAAAAAGTGAAATATGGACTATGGATGGATGATGATTGTGCTCAGGATTCTACAATGTGCCACTCATGGAGCCAGGAACTTCCAGATCACTGAGAAATCCTCGGGGGGGGGGGGGGGGGGAGTGTACAGGAGGGAAGAGAGGAAGAAGAGATGGAAAATACCGGCTCCCAGTTCATCTCACTCAATCTGTGAACAATTTAGAAAGAAGGATATAAATTACCATGCACTTTATTGCCTCCTTTTGGAAACATCCTTAAGCCATCTCGCTGCAGTCAAAGCCCTAAAGGACCTCTGCCCTCTTGGCGAGCTGCTGAGCTAGGGTGCCTGTTATATCTGCAGGAGAGAAGGGCAAAGAAGATGAATGGCAGGGAAACTCAGGTCCACACACCTGCTGACAGTCTGGCAAAACTCAGTTGTCTGGTACGTTTCTCTGGGCAGAGGATACATAACTTCTGATTCTCAAAGGACTCTCTAACCAAAAAAAATGGTTAAGATTCAATGTTCCAGACTATAGTAACAAAAGCACAGTCAGCAGAGACAGTGGTTGTTATGACTACCAAAGGCAACTACTTACTGAATGCTTACTTCGCTAACTGCTTTATGTACATTATATTATTTAATCCTTCTAGGAACCTTCTAAAGAAATTAAATTTGTCTCCATTTTACAGCTGGGAACGCTGATGCTTAAAGAGGTCAAGGGGTCCCTTGCAGAACTTGGCAGAGCTGGGATTTGAACCAAGAATCTGAAGGACGATGAGCTCTGCTTACCCTGTGATCTAAGATTTGTAGGAAGAAGCAAAGGAATAAAACACCCATTTTTATACCTCATGTTTTTCGAGGAGCAGCCTGGCCACGTGGACATGACCACACTGAATTGCATCCATAAAGGGGGTGACACCGCAGTTGTCTCTGCAGTCTCGTTCATAGTGGCACCTAGAGCCAAAACCCAAAAGAACAGGGCTGAGAATATGCACTGCTTCAAAACCAGTGAATGGATAACATTTGACCACATGCAAGTAGTTTGTGCGAGGGTGCTTCAAGAAGTTCGTGTGAAAACTCGCGTCACCTTTTAATTCTATCATTCCACAAACTTACAAATGACCTGGGACAGGCAGGAGCTCCTTCCCCTCTGCTTCCTGTCTCAGCATCTGAGCTGACCTCTAGTCTCCAGGGACAGGCCAGCCCTCCTCAGCAAACCTGCTCCTCCTCCAACCATCTCTGTCCCATCCGATGGCTCCTGTCTCTCCAGCTTCTCATGCCAGAGGCCTGATGACATCCTTGCCAATGTCTTCTCCTTATCCCTCTAGTCAATTGCCCAAATCTCTCAATTCTGCATCCCCAGATATTAAACATCTGCATCCTCCTCTCCATCACTGCTCTCACCCCTTAAGACCAAGTCCGTAGCAGACAGCAGCCTCCCAACCTCCTCCTCACCTTGACCTTGCCTCCTGCTGTGCCTTCCCCACAGGGACGACCTCTTTCCACAATGTAACTGAGGGAGGTCACTCCTGCTTAAAATCTTTAAGTGTTCCCCTTTCCACAAAGGACAAAAGTCTCCACTCTCAGCATGACCTCCAAGGGCTTGAAGGACAGGGCACCTGCTGACCTCTCCAGTTTCCCCACCCTGGGCCTCCTGGTCCTCCCGCTGCCAGGCCCTGTCCTGCCTCTGTACCCCTGAGAGTTCTGCTTGGAACATGACTGTCCACTCTTCCCTTGGTCACCTCCAAGTCTCACCTTAAAT